GAGGACTTACTTAGCTGCACCATCTCTAACCAACACCGCAATAACCAGGAATGTACATCTGGAGGATGGTAGGAAGGAGGAATGTCTGAGCCTCAGGGGTAAGCTGCAATACTAGATATATATATATATTCACGACATGGCAGAGTGCTTCAACCAAACCTTGCAGAATGTGGAATTGTACATCAAGTCTGCAATAGAAAGTGCAATACACCAGCAACACCAACAGAATGCCTCTGCCATACTCTCAACTGAGTGATTCATCACTTAGGAGGTCAGGCCTCCATGGTCCACCACTCCAGCAGCTAGAAACTAGTAAGTGGTAAGGACTCCCATACTCCTCTAGAATAAAGGAGGTAAAAAACATATCGGAGAGTCTGGAGAATTGCATCACCAGATACAGTGCACAGGTGACCATAATACCCTATCTTGAAAGGCAGAGCTACCACACTGATGGAGTCAATAAACCAAAACCTGGCAGCATCTGGAATTGTACACCAGGCCCGTAGTAGAAAGGACTACAACGTAATGTACATCAAGCATGATCACAGGATGGACAGTGAAGATATTAAAAAAAAAGTATACCTGATCAGACACCACTTGCCACAGAGTGGAATCCACAATTCACTTGTCAAAAAGGCCCATGAAAAAGTATGAAAAGTTGGAAAAAATAAGCAACCTTTCACAATACCAAAACACAAAAACTTAAACAAATAAAGAAAAACTAAGTCAGTAGTATAACAGAAAACCCTGACAAATCCGTGAGCAAAAACAAGCACACCTGTACAGTACTAATGCCAATCGAGAAATGATTAACAAGTGCAGATGTGAAGAGGGTGCTGGTTATGATAAGAGTGGTGTCACGCTCCTATTGGTGGAGAGCTGTTGCATGATCATTTGTATGAGTATATGCAGAAATGGGAGGTGGAAAGCTAGTGGCGTGCATTGAAAATTTTCTCCAATGGAGGGCAGAACTAGTTGGGAAAAGCTATTTTGTGACATGAGGTAAGATATTGTACTGGAATACTGTATACATTATGTGACTAAATAGCACTGCAGATAGGCAAATGAAATTAGCAATCAATAGCCATTTGCAAATGAAATGAAATTAAGAAAAAACATGTTATGACTTTTTTGTTTGTTTTTAACTGTAGAAATACACAATAGGCTATATAGCTCACTGTGAACCACAGGTACTGAATTCAGATTATTACAATTAGAAGCCCACAGACTTCCAGCTGAACCATCAGGTAGCATATGTAAAGCTGTTTATTCTATTAAAACAAATATTATAATAAAACTGCTATGTTGTTTGTTAAATATTTCCACTCAGTAAAACAAGTACACACTTGGTCGAGGCTCAGAAATTTCACATTAAAAAGTTTTTAAATAAAAAGTAACAAACAACTTATTTACATTGTTCTCAACATGCTTCATAATTCATCTATTTTTGGGGTTACTTGATTTTTAATGTCACCAAATCCTTGACTAACACTATAAGGAACATTATTTTGTATTTTCGTGTGAGAAAGGGGAGAAGTTGTAAGAAGTGACATATAGTGATCAAACACCATCTGGGAGAATATTTAAAACAAGGAGGATAAGACAAAAATGAATTTTGGTACCAAAAAAAAAAAAGACAAGACAAGTGAACATTTGATTTACATTTCTACATTTCCATTTTAATAATTCCTTGTTAGACTTAAATGTCTTTGAACACGTCAGAAAGAGGTAACTGACTTTCCGATATGCTTACTACCATTAAGGTTTTTCAACTGTTGTGTTTCCATGATACTGACCTTTTTAGTGGTAGAGTTATTAACAAAGTAAACTTCTTTTGTTACTTTATCTACTTCTTGTCTCCATCCTTTTGGAATGTTAGATAGAGGAAACCTAGTCCAATCTTCTTTACTGGACAAGGTAGAAGGTGATTCGGGGGAGTCTAAACTATCAGTACTACTTCCATATCCAGGATTAAGCTTTAACTTCCACCTTTGACTCTTAGATTTAGGTGATTTTGGTGGTGAAAGACATATGACATTTTTATATGACACATTCTCTTTACTTGTCCCATGGATGTCTTGTTTTATTTCATACTGAAGAAAAGGTCTAGTAACATCTGGACTGGTATCTGCCAATGGACTGTTGCTTTTACTGTTACTGGGGCAGTCCTGAATGTAAGACGAGGAAAACAAAGTGAATTAAGTAAAGTCAAACTTTTAGTACACTGACATAATAAAAAATAACCACTCATAAAATTACAAATGAAAATGATTTCTGTACACAAAGACAACACATTTGATTGTAAAGTTACATGAAAATTTAAAGTACCACTAAACAAGTTCAAGAGTTGTGATCTCAGCTTAATAAAAATTAAAGCACTAGAAACTAAAATTTACATCTAAATTTGATCGATTAAATTATTATTTCTAAAAAGTTTAGTGTCCCAAGTTGTTATCAGCAGTTCATACTATATGATTCCCAACTCATTCCACCGAGTGATGATTAATGTTTTCACTTGACCAACTAGCCATAAAGCCAAGTTCTAGCTACTATTAGGCAACCCTTATAAAAAAAATAGCTTTTTTATCCTTTCATAGTTGCACAAAAGAAAACTGTGCAGTTGAATTTTTTTTCCTTCTACTGTTTTAATGTTCCATGTGATTACAGCTAGCAACTATAATAATAATAAACTCACCTAGGCTTTATTTTTCACTTACTGTTCAATTTCATGTTATATCAGCTTTACATTAATGGGGTATTGTGTCAAAATCATCAATACACTCTCTTGACCCACCTTCTAACCAATTTATTACCCTTTAAACCTCAAAAGTTCTTTAAAAATACAAGTTACAAGAGAAACGGAGAAAATGAAGGGATTTGTCTTAGCTAGGAGTACTTAATGAAGACTAGTTTATGCCATCCATTTTCAACCAGCATGGCATTTTGTGAGTTACTAACTGATCATGTACATAAACAAATCTTAACAGAAGAACACAAATATGGTATAAGGGGAAATGAATCAGTGACGCCTATCAGTGTAACATAGCATGACAATTTGGAAATAGTAACATTTGTTGATTTAAAATATATGTACTCTTGAGATTTCCATTAAGAAAGAGCATGAAATGGAAGTCAAATTCCAATATTATTTTTTCTATAGTTTCAAGAGTAAAAGACAAAAAATGTATCATCTACTCTTGCACCCAATAATTTTCATGATAAAATTTTAATTATTTTTCTAAACACAGCCCTCTAATAAGGTGTTTTTCAACCATTCAACCCACTCTGCCAAAACATAACTTATAAAGTTTTACAACTACTGCAAAATTCATTAACACAGAAGTTTATAAAAGATAAAACATAATGAATGTTGTACCTTGATCAAAATGAAGTTACAAGATTGAACTAATTTACAAATAAAGGATGGTACCAATACAAAGAGTACGTATGACATCACTTTGGAGACCTTCAGTTTTCTCAGCAATGAAAAACCAATCAAAGTTGTGTATTGATTTATTTTCAGTAAAAACTTACACACATGATTAACATATTTCATGAAATAGCAAAATTAAAGCTACTCATAAGTCGCTTTTCATTCAACAGTTATTCTTCAAGGACACAAGTAGTCAGCTATAAAACTTTAACACTTATAAATAACTTATTATTAACACAGACATAAATAGGTATTTTAAAACTTCTTTATACAAGGACCAATGGCAATCACTATTATATAAAAATATAAATTCACTTCTGCTTATAATTTTTTATATTTTTCTTCTAATTGAAACATTGCTTAAAAATTACGTATGAAAGATATTTAAATTTTCATATATTATGAAGTATTAGAAATTAAAAATTCTCTTTCTTACTACACCCTGGTTGTAGAACATTTTTCACAATTATCCAAGAACATTTAAAGATATTCTGGGTGAAGGTATGAATACCTGTTTATTGTTCTTTCTTCGTGGTGGTTTCCAAGATTTCTCATGAGTTAATTTATTAAAGTAAAATTTTCTACCAGTTTCATCTGCATACTCTACCCAGTCATCAAGTAAAATACGTAGGGGAGAATCACTTGGTGAGGGAAAAGGGGGGGTCATCCTTGACACAATTGGTAGGTTGGCATAGATTGGACTGGACGGTTGCTGAAAAACAACAGAAATTAATAAAACCAAAAGTAACAGTTAAAACTTTATTCAGTAACACATTTATACACTTGAAACAATACTTATAAGACAAAGAACTAATCCTTTTTTTCTAAACACACATATACTGATTAGGTTTAATGCATGACCAATCATTAGTAGTTTTGTTCAACCTTTCTGATATGTTTATGTTAGTACCCAAACCAAACCAACAAAGCTTTTAACTGAAACATTTATTAAAATACGTGTAAATATTCTGAACAGTTTAATGTTAATAAAATAAAAAATATATCATAAATGTCAATGAAAGCTGTGATGGTTTCATATGAATATATCAGTTTTTTTGTTTAGCAATGTAAATGATAAAGTAGGCCTTATAAATATTGACATTCTGGTTTGATCTGATATGTTTGGTCATAATTATGATAGATTGTGTTCAACTGTTAGGAAAAACTATCTGCCACAAGAAAGTTATATTCATTTAATAAATGTAGCATACTGTATGTTTAATGAGAAACAGCAGTCCATCAGTTCTTAAAACACTTCACAATTACCACCTGAGAAACACTTCACAATTTCAAACACAATATACTGTCCGTGTGTGTGTGTGTGTGTGTGTGTGAGCGCGTTCGTGCGTGTACATATACTGACTAGTGTACCTATACACTGCCATTCACACCTACATGTATAGAACTGATTTAAATTAAAGAAATTTTATTGGTTTGGTCGTGTTTAAGTATCATTATTTTATTACTAAAGTATAACTTCTTAAAGATTTTACAAGTACAAGAAACTTCCCTTTAAACAATTCAATCATTCAAATAATCAAATAAAACTAAAATTTTTTCTATGTCTGCTTAGATATTTTATTAAAATAGTATTGATTACTATATTTAAAATCATAAAGTCTGATTTGTGTAGTAATTCAAAGGCATTATTATTCCACAACTGTAATTAGAGCTGTGAAATTAATATAGTTTAATAATTGATTAATATTCAGGTTCATAAATTGATTACATTAAACAAATCAATGTTCTCACGTGAGACTTGGATAGTTACAATAATCAAAAACAATAATAATTGGAAACACTAATTTCATGAGTTGTGACACTAATTAGTTAAGCTGAACAACCTTCAACTAATAGAAAGCAATAAGGAGAAATTATAATGGCAATACTTTGATTACTTGGATATCTGGAGTAATCAAAAATAGTAATAAGCAGTGACAATAATTTTAATTAGTTGATTTTTTTTTGTGACAGTGATCGATGTAAGTGATGCTCACAGATAATCAATCGAATTAATCACCCAGCTCTGTAATACAAATAACTGGCATTACAAAACATCTTGTTTATAATGTAACACAAGTCATCATATATAATATTTTTTTATATGTGAGAGATTAATATTTTAGAAAAAAAAAGTCACTTCTTTTTCAGAAATAACTGCGCATAACAAATGTTTTTACTATTAAATGTATGCATGATGCACAAACCTAGAGTACACTTAGTTGTACTGTTCCCACAGCCTAAACACTATTGAAAATGATACAGTAAAGCTTACTATTAAACTTGTAACAATATCATTACTCCTTTGATCTTTAGAAATGGAAATAACTAACTTAATAAAAAGAACTCCTTCAACGATTATCAGTTTTACTTAATTTACATAGACAATGCACTTCCAGGCCTGATAATGGGTTATTTCTTGCATTTTATTTGAAAGTAGGGAATAATACTCATTAATGTGGGCATGAATGTATAATTTAATTTGTTGGAAGATGTGACATAATTACACATGTAGGCTATGAGTAATGCATTAAATTCATAATCACTTTCTCAGGAAATATGTTTAAATATTATCAATGTTCATACACATTTCATATGATCCAGACTTGGACATATTATATTTATTCATCAAGTATAATACAAAGCATTAAAATTAGGAAAAATAGTTATTTTATCTTCATTTCATTAATCTAAACAACTGAAGGTTCTATATACACAATACTTAAAATAATGAAAACTTACAACTGCATACCTTTAAGTATACACATGTATGTTAAAGTACACACAATTAGGTTGATATAAATTACTATCATAGTAAAAAAATGCTGATATGTTTTAAACCAACACAGACACACAAACATACAGTACAACTTGTACAAATACCACAGCCTTTTAGATTCAATGTTAACAGCTTTCTTTAGGTTTAAAACATATCAAATAAAAGTAAAATAAAGGCAAACAAAAAATATGGGGCAAATTTCAATACTGAAAGCCTCTCAACAACCAGAAGCTAATGTAACAAAGGGTATGTCAAAAACCAATTGTGACAAACTAACACATCCTGCAATTACAGTATTAACAATTTAAAAAAGTAGATGTAGAAATGCTTCGAATACCTCAATCTCTGAAACACTTTTCATTCCAAATTCTTTTTGCATCCTTACAAACTAGGCCAGAAATCAGGTAATTCTGTCTGAACATAAGAGCACATCAACAGAACCATTATCTTGTTGTTAAATGTATAAGCTGAAAAGTTAAAATAGCCTACTGTATTCTGCCAATGAATATCTGGAAGTTTAACAACCTAATTCTTTAAGGAAAAACTAGTTGGTTTAAGTACAAAGAAAGATTCTATTCTAGTCATACATAACACCAGTTTAGACAAAATGTTCTTGTTACATGTAAACATGCAGTGAGTTCTGTGCGAGAACACCCTCCCCCTCAAGGAGTTAAATTACCTTTACCAGTTGTAACTCAATACATTTAAAGTGGTACAAGTTGGCCCTAATGTTGGAAGCTATGAATAAAGGGGGATTGTATAAGTATACAATATATATTACACATCACATATCTTATTCTATAAGTGGTGGACAGGTTTCCATTAGATGAATGAAAGGTCTTAAAAAAAATTAACTTTTTTTTCACTCACTTTACGAACCACTTAACTTCACAAGAAATAACAAAATTTGTTGGATACATATACTCCTGTAGTTTTGAGAGAATGTTTCAATGGGACTTGTACAACATACATGTTTACTTGCAGTTACTTCTAAATTAAAAAAAAACGTTTTAGAAATATTACAAATCTCTCATAGTAAAGAATCCCATGTACAACCATGTCATTCATCTTAAAATTTCACACACATCTATAAATTTTGTATTTTTATTATAAAGAAGTTATATTCCTTAATCAACTGTATGACACAAAAAAACCACAGCAAGCTATACAAGCATTTTACAAAACCAATTTACTCAAAACTGACAAATACAACCATAGCAAGAGCAACACTTGAGAACAGAAAATTTCTCCAGGTTGCATACTTGCTTAGAAGAACAAACAAAAAAAATGAAAAATCTGTATTGCTGATTTTTTCTGTGTTGAGCATTCATTGCTTAATATATACATGTTAATATTTACTCAAAAATCTTGAACAAAAAAACCCCAAAACCAGTTGTTTTTTTAACTACATTCCTTAGCTGCTAACAGTAAGAGTTTTTACAGATTTCACTCTAGTGGAAAGCAACTGCATTTTGATATATTTTATTGACTGGTAAGCCAAAGGTACGGTGAAGTAAAAAAAAAATGTTTAGCATCCATGCCCACTTCCTTTTTTGCAGCTGCCTCTCCTCACTTCTTGTTTTGGCCAAATTTTTCCTTTTTTTTTTAATTATCGTTTTTCGATCATACAAAGAAACAAAGAAGACCTCCGAATAAAAAATGAGATGAACACAGTTGATTCATTTTGCCTTTTTTCTATATTTGTCAGAAATTTTGTATTGTTTTGATGAAAAAATTAAACAAAGACAACTTCTGTTTGACATGGACCCTTTGAAAACAAGTAACAATCATGAAAAAAGGGGTGCAAACTTTCTTTCAAAGAGGTCATTAAAAAAAAAGGGTCCTCCTCCTTCCTTTTTTTCAATTATACTCAGGATGCTAAACATTTTTTTTTTTACTTGGCCTAAATCCCATATGGAAAGACTGTTTAGAAGTATGGAAAATATTTTCATCGAATCCAGTGCATGCATTCACAGCTTATGAGAACCTTCTAAATTATATTACATTTCACTAACCCTCCTATTATGTTCAGAATTTATGTACATCTGTTGTTTTGGGCCATACTGAGCCAATGCAATTTCACACAAATTGAAACAGGTGGAATTCATAAAATATTTTTTCTTTGCATAGGTCTTTAATGTCAAAAATTAATGTAACTCTTATTATAATACACTCAAAAATATATTCAATTGCATCTTAAATTTATGGAAACTAGTGTTGGGTCAAAAGGTAATATGAGGATTAAAAATATCTATTGTAAGGTGGTGACAGGGTAACATGTTAAGTAGCCTCATTTTACCAAAAAAAAGTGATATGCAATCTTTCTTTTATATCTACATATCAACAAGCTAAGAAACATTTTTATTAAGCATAACAATGTAATTATTTTGTAAGTTAAACAGATTTGTTAAATATCGTAAGTGCATTAATCCTGTTTACTGACTTCAATTAAGAGGCCTATTCACATATATTTAACCTTATTTCACTGTCAAGTATAATGCATTTTTACAAACATGTAGCCAGATTAGCAGCATTCTTTCATTATAAAGTCTTTTTAATAAGGATTTATGCAAAGATAAATCACATTCAAAAAAATATACTGTGCTTGATAATAATTTTGTCAGTGAATTAAACTACTAATCATTGCTAGAAATTTTATTTTCTATTTCTTAAATTCTGTGCAGTAAGCAACTCTGTTGTAGAGTTTTGAGTAGAAAGGATGCAATTTTTTAAAACCTTCATTATCTGAATCTATTTGTTGCTACGTTATACCTGAATATTCTGTGTCTGCACAGCTGATGTAGGAGTTGTGTTCTTGCTGTTTTCACTCTCATCCATTTTTCTAATAACTTCTCCTGACGCACTATCAGTCGACTTATTCCCATCATCATCCAGACTTTCCTCAGTTTCCCGATCTTCATCAGTGTAATCAGCTTCTGGTTCTTCAAAATCATCATCGGCACAAAGTGGATTGTTGAAGGATAGCGCTGCCCGTTTCTGAACATTGGTGATCTTAGCTGAAATAGTAGTGTTATTGTTTCCGTTAGTAACAACTTTGTTTTTAGGCAACAGTTTGTGGTCTTGATCGCTGTTAAAATTACTTCTGAAATTATCTTCTAACACTATGTTGGCATTGGTGTCAGTTTTATCTAAAGGTTCTTCCTCATGATTAGTCCCTAAACCAGATACAATTACTACATAACTTGCTGGTGCATAAAATGCTTTCTTTTCTCCATCACGCATTACTTGCCACCAGTCTTTGTTTGCTTTCTTCAGAAGTAAATATTCTTCTCCTTTCTTCAATGATATTTGCCTACCATCATCAGTGACATAGCTGAAATCATACAGGGCCTGCACAGTAACATCTGGGTCTATGGACATGGCTGTACCAGTGTCTTATCTGGCATATGAGCTAAAAAATAAAAATAAAAATTTTTTATTTCTAACTATGGTAATTAATTAACACATTAACTGTTGCAACCTTTGGCATCATCTATGGCAAGTGCTGATAAGAGTTTTTAATTGTGTTATTGTTGTGTCCTCAATTTAAACAATGGCAATAATAAATCTAAAACATGAACTCTGACATTATTATTTTTATATTTACAATGGATGCACGTGTGCATCATGAGCACATGCAAATGAATGCTAAACACATACACACATGTATGTTCTCAACAGTGAGTGTGTTAATCATTTGTTAAAACTACATCACAAAATAAAAAGATTTATGTTCAAAGGAAGAATAGAAAGTTCCATTATTTGATATGACCTCAAATACCAATTTATAAAATAAAAAAATCAATATCAATAGAATGTTAAAGTAAATTTGGAATACATTTATTACTGGCAAATTTGGGGTCATACCGCTTCCTGACCTGACCCATATTGGTCCTAACAACAAAATGTACAGTGTACATGAATTTAATAGTGCAAAACTTCCCAAGTTACATATACATGTCAACAAAAGAGGTATGATAGTAGCTTAATAGAAGATAACTTCCCATTTATATTTAATTAAGTAAATAAAATCAATACAATTATATATTTTATGATTAAATGATAAATTTAGTTCAAGCTGGTGTAAATGTGCAAATATACATTAATGACAACACTCAGCAAGCCAGTGAAACATATATACACATATAATACTTGAACAGACAGAAAACAAGACACCTGTCTTTACCAGCTACCACTGCAGGCAAATTATAACAAGTTTTTACCACAGATTTAATACTACATTAAACTTACATGTACAATGTAATAGGATACATGTGCTGCCATGAGCACCCTGGAAAATGAGAAACATAATTCTTTCTTTATTTTATTTTGCATATGTATATGAAATTTTTTATTCACTTTAAAATTTCACACTACTCTGCCCCCCCTGAAAAATGTCTGCGGACGCCATGCGATGTGTGCCGCCTACATTTACATCTCTTCAATGGGATCAACTTAATGTATGCAAATGCTAGTTCACTATTTGCTCCATCTTACTCTTCCATTGAAGTGTTATCTGCTGATAAAATATTACAAAAAACTAAAACATTCTGATCCAAACTTAAAAGGCTATTGATTTTCTATACATACTAATCTGCACACAAGCTAATGTGCAATGTATGTAAAAGCTTGCATAAATTAATCTCCTGTTGTTCTAAAAGTTTGTAGCTCTCCTGTACATCTGAAGAGGAAAATTATTTTATAGTTAGAATACAGAGTAAATGATAACAGTTATTCTACCAAAAAAAAAGGCTAATCTACATTTTTTGTAAAATCTATAAAGATACACTTTTAAGAATGAGAACTATCATTGTAATAAGTTTAGTGTTTCTTTTATGCTATTCAATGTCAAGCCCTCCTGGATGTTATAAGTTGACAGTAAATGCACTAAAAGAAATATGGACTGTAAAAACATTTAATGCAACATTTTAACCAAAAAACAGTAAAACTGTTATAGAAGAGGCAATGTTTTGGCAATGTTACCGTATGTAAATATTTCTAAAGTAGTCAGGTAAGAACATCAGACATAATATTTGAAATATATTCATTAGTAATAATTAATTATAGAGTTTTAGAGCTATTAATAATAATAATAACAATCGTATATTTTGTACTATATATATATGTATGCCTTTGGAGAAAAACAAATCTAACTTTGATGCTAGTGTATCTATATATATATATATATATATATATATTACGTTTCACAACAATGATCGACTAAATATGC